GATTAACCACTGTGTACAGTCGTAATACTCACAAAATGCAATGTATGTATTTATCTAAGATACATAATGTATGTATGTATCTAAGAAATATTTACTGGTATATCCACTACTTTACTCATTATGAAAGAGAAGAAAATGAAAACTTCAATGAGGTCACACTTACTCAGACTAATACATATGATACTAGACCTCTGAAAAATCTTACAACATTGCAATTTCATGAAATAATATAACAATGACCATTCAAATAATGATAATGAAACAGTTTCCAATGTTCATTCAGGTTATCAGAATGTAAATAGAGAATCACATTTCTTTCTTTCTTTCTTTTTTTTTTTTTTTTTTTTTTGAGAATTGCATTTCAAAATGATCCACCTCAAAAATAATTCTAGTATCTGGAGCAATCACTTCTGAAAATAGTCCATCAGATATTTGTAACAGATATTAGAGATACAAATGCTTTCATGCTTTAAAGTGTGAGTAATTTAATTAATTGTAAGGACTCTGGGATAGTGTAAAAAAAGTTTTGGGTGACTTTAGTCTTAGGTAATCTTTTCTGAGATTCCAAATAATCTCATGTGAAACAAAAGCCACTTTCTCATGAGAATATTTTTGTAGCCTCCCTTTGGTGCACCTTCAATCTACAATTCTCTGTTTTGATCCAATAAATAAATGTGGACTAAGAACCTTTTATCAGAAGGTTAGGACATCTCCTAGGAGTTCATCCACTCCCTGCGTATGCTATGAAGTCTGAGACTGAAGAAAAAGAAGACCTGTACTGGTGAATTCACTTGCCAGTCCTTACAGAGGGTGTTGGACTCATGGTGAGGAGATGGCATAGTATGTAAAAATAATTGTTAATGTATTTCTATTGAAATAACAGAAATGGGGTTTTGTTTGTAGGAGCTGCTTGCCTAAAGTTTTCCTTATATTAAAGTTAAAACTCAGAAATGTTCAGGGTCCTTAGAGAGGGAAGAGAAAGCAAAGTAGGGAAAAGGTAAAAATATAAAGGCCTAATTGAGGATCCAAGAACAGCATTCCAAGAGTTAAGGTTTAACTGATGGAGAAAAATAATATTTAAATTAGAGACCCAATTTGTTGTGTGGAGCTCTGGAGGAGCTCACATGCGATATTATATACCTTAAAAGGATTTCTGTAGAAGTAGGAAATCAGTCATATGTAATTGGAACAGTTAAATGCTTTTTTGATCTCCAGGTATGGAATATCTTTCTGGCTAGGATGAGTAATTCACTATACAGATGAATACATCTGTAGAAGGTATATTCTAGAAGGAATATTCTCTGTAGGATGATCTATCTCTCTTCCTATACTTTCAAGTTTAATGACACTAACTCTTCAGTTCTAAATGAGTTCCAGTGAGAAGTATTACTGCCAAATATTTTATATATCAAAGTTCAAAATGGTTCCTGGATTACTGGTAAATTTTATGGTTTTGCTAGATATTAGCAAGCATAATGTAAAGTAGTTAATTTCATATTTAAACAAAATTACTATGACTATGTGTCATCTATGGCCAAACAGAGTTAGACGATCCCTCCTGAAATGTGTGAAGAGTGCAATCCCAATCTTAAAGTTGCATAAAGTAAAATTAGTTAAGGAAAATTCATGTTGGAAGGTAATACTTGGAAGAATACCAAAAATCCTAAGTGGTAAATGTCAAATATAAAAACAAAAAAGTGGGAGGCACCTGTGGCTAGAAGGAGTAGGGCTCCTGCCCCATATGCCAGAGGTGGTGGGTGCAAACCAAGCTCTGGGCCAAAAATGGCAAAGAAAAATAAAAAAATAAAAATAAATAAATTTTTAAAAAAGTGTATGGTAGAGATTTAAAAGCCAGCCAAATTCCTGTGATACGTAATAGTCATAGGAATATTTTTATAGAATGTTGGTACAAACTTGTTTTTAATAAATGATTTAATTACTATTATTTCTAATGAGGCATGCACACATTTGAGAATATAAATAATCAGAAGGTACATATAAATTTTGATGTGGGAATGAGTAAGTCCTATCTAGGGAATGAAGCAAACAAAATCATCCAAAATTAGAGAGTGACTATGAAATATTAAACTAGTTAAAGCAAAAGATATTCTTCTCATTCAAATGTCCACACACATATGAAGTAGGACAGTCAAGTTCACAAACTCATCCTAGAAACACTGCTACATATCTCGCTGCTGAATATCACTGTGTTTACCTTAGAGGTATTCCCCTTGAGAAGCTGTGCACTGATGCCAGCACCTACTGTACCCTACAAAGCAATTTTGGAACTCTCTCTGGAATGGCCATCAGAGCTATCATATTATCTTTAATGTCATTGAATGTTTTTCTTTACCACATATCTTAGGGTAAAGAAACAATCATTTAGGGCCAAATCAGGTAGGTTGAGTACATTGTCATGATGCAAGAGCCAATTTTTACACACATCTTTCTCATGCCAAGATTCTCACTTAACATTTTCCTCTTTCTCAATTGATGTTTTTGGTCTGATATGCTTCTCACAGTCAGCTGACAATTTTGATATACAATCAACAAATTTTTGCAATGTTTTTCTCAGTTCTGTGGATGTACACAAGAAATATTCATATACCCATACATTCAAGTGCTCATACATTGATGGTGCCATTGCCAATCCTGTTATTAAAAGTGAAGCAGGATTAAGTATATATTTGAGTTACACAATAGCTCTTGCAGTTTTGTTGGTGGTAGTCTTGATGCTGGTCGTGGTTTTAGCAGTTCTGTCTGTGCTAAAATCAGAAGAGAAGATGAATATAAAGAAGAGAGTACAAACTAAAATATTCTGTAAGACAGCAAGATGAAGAAAGGGAATGGTGAGCCTATAGTACATGTATATGAGTATTTTCTATATGCATATATTTAAAAGAGGTGAAGTCCATGTTATAGGAAGTCAGACTTTTATGTTTTAGGAGAAAGCTGAGTGTGTCAGAAAGCAGTGAGTTGAGTGACTAAATGTGGGTAGTGTTTGTGGTGAGGTTGGATGCCCCACTTTATTAGTTACAATGACTTTCATTTTTATTTTTTTAACATGAATGATTCTGATACTTCACATGTGAAGCCCCCAGCAAAAAAAATTGCCCTTGGAATTCCAAGTCCATAAGAAGTTGGTCTCTTTGTTAAGGGAGGTATCTGATGCTTGTGACTCTCCCTCCTTGAAAAGTACGTGCTATAAAAATCTCTTTACTAGTTATACCATGAAAGAATGTGGTAGGTTATAGTAGACATTCAGTGCTGAGAATGTTTGAGTGGAAGACTGAAAAAGCATAGGTCTACACAGCAGTGGATGGAAATATATAAACTGTGATTCATCTAGGATTTACATGTCAAAGATACATTAACACCTCTACAAATATTATTTTGTGTTTTTTTAAAATATTAATAGTTTTAAAATGGCACTGAACTTCTAGTTTTGGCTAAGAGCAAAAACATAATAATTCTTTGTCTCAATTCTCCCTGCCTATATTTCTTTTTATGAGACGTGATCCTTCATTAAGTTGTGTTCAAATTTTCTTCTGGTGCTTTTTACTTTTGGCCATACTTTTTTTTCTTTTTAACTTTATTTTTTGTTGATGTTGTTGCAGTTTGGCCGGGGCTGGGTTTGAACTCACCACCCTCGGTATATGGGGCTGACACCCTACTCACTGAGCCATGGGCACCACCCCATACTTTTAAATAATATTATTCTACATAAGAAATTTTGTTTAGATTTCAGGCTCTTCTAGATAAAATTTAGCTCTCTTATATTACCATTTTTCCTATCCTTCCCCCCCCATATCTATGTGTAGCTAAATCAGAATTTTCTATTTCTGCATTACAAATTGCAATTTTAACAACACTAAATGGAAATGTATGTAACTAACTCTTGATGATATCTCTTTTTATCTTCTTTGTAGGATAAAAATTGTGCTAACATCAATGCTTCCAATTGTGATATTTTTATGATATCTATGAAGGTATGTATTATTTCCTAACATAATGTGGGTGTATGTGTATAGAGAGAAACATTTCAAATTTCTTCAAGAAATAATTATGTATTTAAACAGAAAATATTATGCAATCTATAAATTCATATTAAGAATAAATGGTGTCACTTGTGTTGGGGGAAAATGACTTGAGTTTTATGTCTGTTATGGAAATATCTTGTGCTGTATTTCTGCAGGTATAAATACCAGGAAAAATGCCGAGGTTTCCAGATGTCTGAAAATTTATAGTTGTGATGTAGAAGTGGGATGAACTACAGGAATTTTTTTCATAGTTTTGTCAATGATATTGAAAATAAAAGTAGATTATAACATAAATAAAATTATCATGAAAGAGAAAGAGTTCTTGACCAGGTGCAGTGGGCCACATCTGTAATTCTAGCTCTTTGAAAGGCTAAGGCAGGAGAGTCTCTTAAGCCTATGAGTTTGAGATCAGGCCAGGCAATACAGAAAGAACTTTTCCTATTTAAAAAAAGAGAGAGAGAGACAGAGAAAAGAAATTAGCAGGGGTTAACAACCTAGTCCCAACTATAGTAGAGTCTGAGGCAGGAGTATTGCTTGAGTCCAGGAGTTCAAGGCTTCATTGAACTATGATTGGGCCTCTGCACTTTAGCCTGTGCAAGAGAACAAGATCCTGTATTATAAAAAATAAAAAAAAAAGTGTTCTGAGAAATTTCCTTATAGGTATAAGTGAGAAAACTATACCCTTAATATTTATTTTCACTTGACCAATGATTAAATATTTGAAGCCAGACTAATTCTACTAGCTCCTACATTTTAACAGTAGTCATCTATTGCTCTATTCCAGATAGTTACTCAAATAGGTTTGGAACTCTTGTATCATCTTTCATATAAATTGGTTAAGAAATTGCTACCCCAGAGGAGTTAGATAAATTATCTCTTTTTATTTTAACATTTGTAATATTTTTCTTCCTGTAAGATCATCGAAAAGCTGCTCTGGGCTGGATTTCAAGAAATTTCCTCATGGAGCATATAAATGGTAGCTGGTCTCAGCCCTCCACTCTCCTTCTCACAGGCATCCCTGGACTGGAGGCTGTCCAGATATGGATCTCTATCCCACTATGTGTCATGTACCTCATTGCCCTACTAGGAAACTACACCATCCTCTTTGTTATTAAAACCACCCCCAGCCTACATGAGCCTCAGTACATCTTCCTGTCTATGCTGGCAGCTACAGATTTGGGTCTGTCTTTATCTACTCTACCGACAGTACTCAATGTCTTCCTCCTAAATCACAGGGAGATCGAATTCCACTCTTGTCTCACACAGATGTTCTTCATCCACACCTTCTCATGCATGGAGTCAGCCATCCTGCTGGCCATGGCCTTTGACAGGTTTATAGCTATTTGCAACCCACTGCACTATACTGTCATCTTAACTACCCCTCGGATTATTCGAATGGGGTTTGCAGCTGTGGTTAGGGGTGTGACGTTGATGGTACCATTGCCAATCCTTCTCAAGAGATTGCCCTTTTGTAAAGGTGTCATCCTATCCCACTGTTACTGTTACCACCCTGATGTGATGAAGCTGGCCTGTGGTCCGGTCAGAGTCAACATGATTTATGGGTTGTCCCTTGTCATTGGCTCCTTTGGAATTGACTCACTGTTCATCGTCATTTCATACATCTTGATCTTGAAAACAGTTCTGGGTATTGCCTCAAAAGGTGGTCAGCTAAAGGCACTTAATACCTGTGTTTCCCACATCTTCACTGTCTTCATCTTTTATGTGCCTCTCATTGTGCTGACTCTAATTCACAGGTTTGGTAAATTTTCATCTCCTCTTCTCCATGTCACCATGGCCAATCTCTTCCTCTTCTTGACTCCTGTCCTTAATCCCTTGGTTTATAGCCTCAAAACCAAACAGATAAGATTAGCAATGCATAAGGTAATCAAAAGCAGGGGACACTTGCTCAACTAGTCAAGTATGGCCTTAATGAATAAGATAACATGACTCTCTCTTCTCCTTTTCTCTGTCTGTTTCTCTCTGAGGACTATGTCTTCTCTTAAAGGTAGGGTTTTGTGAGAATCAGGACATTTTCTTTTTGTCTGACAGTAAGCTCATGGTATTATCTTGGTGCAATTCATTATTCACAGTGCAACATGATGGAGCTTTCTGAAATATTTTTCTCTTTCTTACACATAATTTAAAATGATTAAGTGGCTTAAAATTAGCTTTAGGATAAGGGCTAAGTTAGTAAGATATTTTAAAAAGTTTTCTATTTCCTCATTCTTTGTCTTTTCTCCAGCCTCAATTTAGGGACACAATTGCTTCTTCTCAAACCAGATAATTTGATATACGTGTATTTTTATACATGTACACAGCCATCACATGATTCTAATTTTACCAATTGCTTAGCTTCAAATTTCAACATTAATTTAAACAAAACATTTTCAACTAAGAATGTTTCTAATATTTTTGGGTGGTGCCTGTGGCTCAAAGGAGTAGGGCGCCAGCCCCATATACTGGAGGTGGTGGGTTCAAACCTGACCCCAGCCAAAAACTGCAAAAAAAAAAAAAAAAAGAAAGAAAGAAAGAAAGAAAATATTTCTAATATTTTAAAAGTTTTCTTTCTTCTTTAATGTTCCTGTAAAATATTTTAATGTGGCATAATTTTACTTACATTTTATGTTTATTTTCCTTAATTAACAATGCATTATTGTGGGAAGGTATGGTATTATTTTAGTCTATGTCCTTAAATAGGTATCCTGTTCAGTCGCAAAGCAAATTCCTATTCTTTCCTTTCCTACATAAGTGAATATCCATGGGCATAGGTAACTGCAGTTTTCATTTGTGATTCTCATCACCTTATGTTAACATTACTGTCGTTTAATGACTTTTTCAGAGACCACTTATATTGTCTTGGCCAATGTATCTCAGTACCTAACAGAATTATCCACACTATTGTACAATAAATATAAATTGATCAATAAATGAATAAGTTAATAATTGTTTCAAGTGATATCACTGGTAATCTGTTGTACCTATAAAAGTATGATTTTTGCACTTTTTTTGCAGAGTGTCTTTACTAGAAGGTGGGGTAACACCTTTCTTTTGTGCTGTTTAAATTGAGCCATTTCATGTCTACCTTGGCTTTAAACTTTAATTGCATTACCAAAAATACTATCTCTTAAAGTGAGGTGAGTTTTACCAGTTCTGTTTAAAAAGTAAGGAAAAAAAAATAAAGGATACTAAATAATTTGTCTCCCAATTCAAAATTTGCAGAGTGTCTTTACTAGAAGGTGGGGTAACACCTTTCTTTTGTGGGGAAGGGGACAAGGTGATGGAAAGGTGGGAGGAGTACACAGCAGTGTTGAAGCCAGCTGTTGGTAGCTGTGCCAGCCAAGATTTTTAGAACTGTGTTCTAAAGGGTTGTGTGGGACACAGGCCCTTGGCCCCTGGCTGGTCCCTTCATGGCTGAGAGATCAAAGTTCCCATGCTCCAGCCTGCTCTCGCTCAGCCTCCATCCATGTTGGAGGCTTTCAAGATGATGAAGTGAAAGTTTGTGGATTCTACCAGCTCAAAGAAAACTGCTTTGGTTTTTTTTGTTTGTTTTCTGTGAATACTTATCACACCAAAATTGAATGATCTAGAAATCTAGCACCTACATCAAGGGCATATTTAGGAATTTCCTATTTATTTATTACCTTTGTTCTTTACCTCGAGACCCACCAGTTTGAACTATGCATTTATTAATGTCATATTTGCTCAAGTGTTATACATGTAAGCCTCAATTTGCTGTACATTTTCACAAGTTATGTTGACCCACTGCTCATTATTTTGAAAATATTAATATTGTCATAGTTAAATTGATGAGCACATACTATAAGTATTCTTTAAAACAAGTAAGGAACATCTTTAAAACACTTTATTTTTAAAAGGAGGAGAGAAATTGAGCCGTTTAATGTCTACCTTGGCTTTAAACTATAATTGCATTACCAAAAATACTATCTCTTAAAGTGAGGTGAGTTTTACCAGTTCTGTTTAAAAAGTAAGGAGAAAAAAATAAAGGATACTAAATAATTTGTCTCCCAATTCAAAATTTTAGGATTTAGTATTAAATACCACCACATATTATAAATCAGAGTATATTAATCATTTAAATCAGCCTCTTTATTTTTTGTACCATATAAGATCTAAATATATACAAGTATGTTGGTAATATGGGACATAATATATTTAGTTTATATACTTTTAACCTAATTTTCTTTTTCCTCATGTTCACTTAAACATATTATGAATCCCTTGAGTTCAGCACAGTAACATTTGTCTTGTTCAAAGATATATATATATATATATTTTAATTAGTTAATTAGTTTTTTGAGACAAAATCTCAAGCTATTGGCCCTAGCCAGAGTGCCATGCTGTCCTCATAGTTCACAACAACCTCCAACTCTTGGGCCCAAGTGATCATTTTGCCTTAATTCTTTTCTATTTTTAGTAGAAACAGGGGTCTCACTTTTTCTCAGGATGGTCTCAAACTCGTGAGCTCAAGCCATCCACCTGCCTCAGTCTCCAAGAGTGCTAGGATTACAGGAGTAAGACACTGTGCCTGGCTGAAGATATAATATTTTGACTATCAGTCTATGGGTATGTGATGCCCCAGAAAGCTGCTCGTAATTCTACAAATAGGACTATAATTTAAACTCCCATGTGTACTGATTCTAGGTTGTACCTTTTAACTCAACAAGTAAAATTTGTGTACATTGTACAACCTGATGCTCTGCAATACATATGCATTGTAGAACGGCTCACTCAAACTAATTAACATAAGCTTACCTCAATTATTCTCCAGGTATTTGTGGCGAGAACACTAAAATCTATTCTTTCTGCACTCTTCAAATATATAATATACTGTTATTAACTGTAGTCACTATAAGAGATAACAGGTCTCTTGAACTTATGCCTCCTGCCTAACCAAAATTTTGTCTCTTTTGACCAGTCTCTCCCATCTACCTTCTTCCTCCAGCTTCTGTTAACTTCTATGAACATCTGTGCTTCTATGAGTCCAGCCTTTTAGTTCTACATACAAGTGAGACTAAACTCTATTCATTTATCTTTTTCTGGTTTAGTTAGTACATTTTCCTCCATCTTCATCCATGCTATTGAAAACGATAGTATTTTTTTTTCTTTTCTAAGGCCACACTTTCCTCCACTGTGTAGATATACCACATTTTCTCTGTCCATTCATCTATCTCTAAACACAAAAACTGATTCCATGTCTTGGCTATCATGAATAGTGCTGCCATGAACATGGGAGTGAAAATGTCTTCAGACTGATTTCATTCCCTTTGTGTGTATACCCAGTAATGGATTTGCTGAATAATATTGCAATTCTATTTTTAATGTTTTGAGGAGCATCCGTGTTACTTTCCCTAATGACTATAGTAATTTATATTATGAAGAATAGTGGGCAAGAGTTCCCTTTTCCCCACAACTTTATTAAAACTTATTAACTTTTGCCTTTTTGACAATAGCCATTCTGAAATGATATCTCTTTATGACTTAAATTTGCATTTCCCAAATGATTGGTTCTATTGAACATTTTTTCAAGTAACATTGGATATTTGTACATTTTCTTTGAATTAATATACAATTCTCATTATTCAGTCCTTTGCTCATTTTTTTAAATCAGGTTATGTTTCTGCTATTGAATTGAATTTCTTTTACATTATGGATAATTAAGCACTTATCAGATGCATCGTTTCCAAATATTTTCTCCAAATTTGTAGGTTGTTTCTATATTTGTTGTTTCCTCTGTTGATCACAAATTTAAGATGAAATAAAGTGTAATAATACAGGGACATGGAGACAAACCACTCTGAGATATCACCTAACTCCAGTAAGACTAGCCTACATCACTAAGTCCCAAATCTGCAGATGCTGATGGGGATGTGAAGAGAAGGGAACAGTTTTACATTGCTGGTGGGTTGTAAACTAATACAACCTTTATGGAAAGAAGCAAAGAGAATTCTTACAGAATTAAAAGTCTACCTTGCATTTGATCCTGCATTCCATTAGTAGGCATTCACTCAGAAGAACAAAAATAATTTTACCACAAAGATATTTGAAGAATGTTTATTGCAGTTCAGTTCATAATTGCCAAATGGAGGAAGCAATCTAAATGCTCATCAACCTGTGCATATATTAAAAAACTGTGGAATATTTATACCATGGAATACTATTCAGCCATAAGACAGATGGATATTTTATATCTTTTATGTTTATCTGTATGGAGTTGAAACATATTCTTCTTAGTAAGTATCTAAGTATCTCAAGAATGGGGAAAAAAGTATCCAATGTACTCAAGACTAATATGAAACAAATATATAAATAATTACATGCCCACATGAGCTATAAAACACAAATATAGTCTAGCATGGGGAGGAGAGAGGAGGAAGAAGGGATTAGGGAAGAGAGAGAGGGTGATTGTTGGGGGGAGAAAGGGGAAATTGCAAGATTTCACCTAATGTACACAATGTGAGGGCATTCTGGGTAAAGAACTCTTCTATAACTTGAACTTTACCTTAGAAGGGAGAACACCTTAGAAGGGAGAACGATGTAACCTGAAACTTTGTATCTCATATTAATTTGACATAAAAAATAGAAAAAAAAAAACTTCTGGAAACTATTTTAATAGAAATATTTTGGTATTTTGTTAGGAATTGACTTATTAGGGCTTTAAATAATGAAGAAATAAATAGTAACATACGCTTCATCAAAATTCATCAAATGTTAAGAAAATTCTGCTCTTTGAGAAACATGATTTTTAAAAATGAAGACAAACTACATACTGAAAGAAAATATTTCCTTGAGATCAACCAAAATAAATTTAATTCAGAAAATATAATTAAAGACATAATATCATAACAAAATGGTAGGTATACCATAAGCAATGGTGTTATGGTTGCTATTTATAT